TGGTGTTGTTGGTGTTGTTGGTGTTGTTGGTGTTGTTGGTGTTGTTGTTGTTGTTGTTGTTGTTGTTGTTGTTGTTGTTGTTGTTGTTGTTGTTGTTGTTGTTGTTGTTGTTGTTGTTGTTGTTGTTGTTGTTGGTGTTGGTGTTGGTGTTGGTGTTGTTGTTGTTGTTGTTGTTGGTGGTGGTGGTGGTGTTGGTTGTTGGTTGTTGTTTGTTGTGTGTTGAATGTTGTGTGTTGTGTGTTGTGTGTTGTTGTTGGTTGTTTGTTGTTGTTGGTTGTTGGTTGTTGTTTTTGTTTTGTTCTCTTGTTGTCTTCTTGTGTTCGTTTTGTGTGTGTGTGTTTCTTCTTTTAAACGGATACTAGACCGGATACTTTTGATGTTCAGTGACATGTTAGCCGCAGCCTGACCGGTTTTGACGTGTGGAGATACTGACCCATCCGCGTCTGACCAGGGACCAGTTCATCCTGACGGGACACTCTCTTGGGGGGCATGCTGGCGATCCTCACTGCTGGCGATCCTCGCGTCACACGTGGAGACGCGGTCGCGTTGGCCTTTGCACCCACACCCTGGCGGAAAGTGGCACAGTTGCAGGGAGAGGCGGGAGGATGGGAGGATGGAAGATGGGATTGTGGCAGGGTTTGGGGGGTGTTGAAATGACGCCGAGAAGATGCAGCTGGAGATGTTCTACATGTCCCTTGATTATCCCATTTCCCTGGTTGAGTTTTGAGCTTACTTGTTTGACATGTTTCTGCACAGTCCACTACGTAGCTTCCAGCATGAACGCATGAGTACCAGGACCATCGAGGGTATTTTTTTGCCAGTACTTGAAACCCAGAACCAGAAACCAGCAGAAATGTCCAGTAAACACATGCGATCTCAGTGTAACTCTTCACCATCCCAGACTCACGACCATCGCGGCAGGCAGACGGCTTGGTGGCGCTTTGTGATCCTTATGACTGAGCCTTGGACTTGGTCGACTCCAGAACCAGTGAGACGAGGGGGGGTTCCAAGGACCTTCACCGGAAAAAAACGAAAACACCGCGGTGCGGTGCGGAAGAAGCTCCCCTCGGAGTCCCTGTCATGTGCCCAGCAGGTGCCACTCCAAATCATGCCTGGATTGCTCGAGTTCAACGAACGAATGGCAACTATTACGCTAAAAGGACGACCAGTGCGCTCAGTTGTGCACGATCTTCGGGGTGTGGTCTTCGGGGCTTCGATTGGTCGAGCCTACGAGCCATCCGGAGCACGCACCGGGTCGAGGGGTCGCCGCTCGGGAAGGCGGCATCAACAGCTTCTTCGTGCCTGGAGCAAGACTGGCGGCCAGCACTTGCCTCTTTTTGCACCAGGAAGAACCAAAACCTTGCCAGGCGAGAGCGTGCAGACTCCTCAGCAGGTGGTCGGTTCCATGGTTCCATGATGCTTCTGTCGAAATGATGTTTCAACATGGCTCCAAATGTGGAATTACTCTGGGGGATATGACATAGACAGTTGTCAGAGATGGCGCGTCTTCTCCAAACAACAGCGAGCAAAATATCAGAAGTCCCTAACGACAAGGGTTTTCATTGATGCTATCAGGTGGCACAAAAATGCTTCAGAGGCAATATTAGCATATGTCTTCCTATTAGCACACAATTGCCCCCCCAACAAGGGTTTGGTATACGGCAGGATGTGAAGCTTGAAGGAGACCATAAAAGCTGCATGACCTACGTACTTCTTGCTGCAAGAAAAATTGGTCACAGGAACTGAACACGGTGGCCTTTCCGGTTCGAGTAGACCGAGGATCCCATTATGCCTTGAAAGGATCGGATCCAAGTCATGAAGTGACCCTTATGGCAAAGACGGTAAAACGTCTTCCGAGCGTCTGCGGGAGGTAGAGCCACCCCAGGAGCCTTCCAAAAGAAGCTGTCACGACCTGGAACTTCAATATAGATGAGCTGAATGGTGATGGAGACTCTGGAGACCCAAAATACAAAACCCATAACTATGGTCTTATAAAAACATTCTACATCAGTACTCCCCAAGTCGCCTCCTCCTGGACGCGTTGTCAGCTTGCAGGGCTTACCCGAGCCCTACGAGACCAGCAGATGGCGAGACGAGCTTCTTCGCGCACGCCCAGGCCGGGAGAAGAGGAGAGACGGAGCCCCCAACCGAAGCGCTTCGGCTTCGCTCGGGCGGTGAAACCGCTCCGCGATGAGAACGCCCGTGAATCTTTGGAGAAGGTTTCAGCAGGTGGGTTTCTTTGGACACTCGTTCACAGGAACTGCTTGGGATTGGAACGGGTGTCCAAAGGCTGCGCAGACCAGACCAACTAACATCAACTAACCCACATGATCGGCCCAAAGTGGCCGTCCCATGGAGTGTTTGGGGCATGAACAAGTGGCGGCCAGCGATGTTTGCTGTGAAACATGCATGATAAAAGTCTTTTTTTTGGAGATGCCATGTCGAAACCTCCAACCTCTTCAAGCTCTTCTTCCAAAAAACACCCACCCACTTCCCCTTCAGTATTCTGCCATTGCTCCCAACACGCACCTGGCGGAAGCACTGAGGTGATCCGTTGGTCCCACTGCTGTTGTGTAAGGGTAGCGCACACCGCTGGGCGCACTACAAAGCCCTACTCAGCGCGACTGATAGCGCGAGGTCGAAGCTGGGCCATAAAGGTTGAGGTATTTGGAGAGAAGCAGCCAGCGAACGTGGAACTCAGATCGATCGATGGCTTGGTTGATCAAGGTGCCAGGAGTTTTCTTACAAATCTATAGATGCCACGAAGATTGAGGATTTCACTTATGTTTTCCATCCGATTATTGCGGTGCTTTTTTCTGGCATCATGTCCTTCCGCGTTGAAACTTTCACCCTATCCGTGTTTTTTTTCCTGGCCGCAACTGGGGTGCTTAGGGGACCATGACTGGGACGACCGACCATGACGACGAGCGATGCCGCCCCAGAAAGACCCCCTCAAAGAAAAACGAGATCGTCTGAACATGACATCATTGACCTACTGCAACGACATATTTTTAGGGATTCTGCATGGGTCTTTGCCCTGTTTGCGACTACAGGAACCTTCCTGTATGCAGCCGTGACTTCAGCGTGCTACAGACGCGGCTGAGCACCGGCTGAGTGTAAAACAGAGCGGGAGCGGGAGCGGCTGTGAGCTCGTCACATCGCCATCGGCGTTCTGACCAACTTCTGGGTAACCTGACGAAACGAGAGAAGACATTGCGCTGGACTCAGCTTTGGTCCTGGTTCTTGCATGACGCATCAAGAGACGCCTTCTAAGGATTTCTAAAGGGATTTCTGTCTTAAAAGGTCCTACCCATGTTATATATCGCTAGTATTCGCTAGTTATACAGCTGATCAAACAGGACTGGTTTGCATCCACACTTTGCCTATCTGCAGAGAATGCACCCCCACCCCCGATTCGCTTAGTTTGACACATACTTTACTAATTGATGAGTCGATTCTTGTTGCATGGTTCTCATGGTCGTCAAAAACACGTTTTGCGTATGGGAGGGCTTCAAAGTTACTTTCAAGTCAAAGTCGAGCTATTTGACCACCGGTGGGTTTGGGGGATTAGAGTGTACCAAGTCTTCATGGTCCAGATACAAAAGGAATCACATATCTTAATAAGGGATAATATGGGTGGCCCACACCGAGGCGGCCCAGCGCACCATCCTGATGCGCGCAGAGGTTCAACCGGCGGCCCAACACAAGGATTGGGGAAGCCCAACTTACGCACCCACGGAAAAGCTGTGGACACAGGTGCTGCCCAATGAGGGGGGGGGGACTGCCGCAGGGTTCACTTAACTTGGTTTGACAATCATTATTTTGGCTGATGCTTTGAGAGCGGAGTGATTGTTAGTTGTTTGCCCACGGATTGATTGGAAGATGGCGCAGCTCTAGAGGTTTTGAAGCATCCTCTCCGAATCCTTCCGTCGCGTCTTTGGACCTAGCAGACACCTGATCTTACTACCCGCACATGGAGAGAAAGCCCCGAATGCCCCCCGCACGCGCAGTCACTTGGTCTTGGATAGCTACTCCCCTTTCCTGGGCAATGCCATCGTGATCACAGTGCCTGAGCTGAACCAGAACTTTTGCGTGGCTATATATAATTGTTTGGCAAGACAACCAGCTTATCACGTGCCCATTGTGTTTGAATAAACATTAGTGCTCAGAAGCGCCCTCTGAATGTTTGAGTTTGTGAGTTATGTTTCACCCACACCAGCGGGTTTCCTCAATGTATGCAGAGTGTGCAAAGAGGTATGTAATGTCAATGGCCCATAGCTAGTTCCGGTACGCTGGGATAGGCGTGAACTGTTTTGCAGCGAGAGCCATCAGTTTTGACAGCCTCCCTACTTTTACCTCAGCGGCCCGGTGGGGGAGGCCCGAACAAGCATGCCCGTGAATTCCCAACCGGTTGTTTGATTCATTGATACTTCTTGACTTCCAGAAAGGCTTTCCGACGGCTTTTTCCTCCAAACTTGCAGCTACACTCAGTGCAGCAACTAGACATGTAGACCCCTCTGGCAACTTCGATGGTCAACGATGTTGATGTGTATTTAAATAGGTCTATCTTTTTTCTTCGAGGGGGGTCGTTGCCTGACAGCTCTCGGTCTCCCTGTTTGGTCTCGGTCACCCATATCATGTGACGATGTGTTTGCTTTTGGGCGCCCAAACCAGCAGCGAGATGATGTGAGATGATGGGTGTTCGCTCTGAGAGAACCGCCGGGTGTTTCGGGTTCCAACGGCCCAGTGCCGGTGGGAGGGTTGAGTGGGGTGGGAGTAACAACCTCACAAGTGTGTCTTTCCCAGAATTGGCCGCAACCTGGCCGACCTCCGTTGCCGGTGAAGGTGGTTGCGGTGAGTGGGTGGTTGTGGGTCGACCGACCTGAAGATGGACAGGAGCTTTGTAGGGATAAGGCTTGTAGTACTTATAACTGTTTTTTGTTGACATCAAATCACGACCTGCATGAACCAGAGGGCTGCTCAGGAAGAACCTACTACATCCTAGAATATCCTATATATACTTTAAACCATCTTAAACCTCACCTGTTCAGTACGTCAGGCTCACCTGTTCTTACACCTGTTCACCTTCCGAGGCTCCACCCCGTCAGACGGTTAACAAGCCGATTCAGGAAAAATGTAGATCTCGAAAACAAACCAAACACAAAAACAGACGATGAGGTTGATGTCCATCCAAATGATTGTGATTCCGGGCTCCTGGCCTACCTCCGTTTCGAAGATGGGACAGGGCCGGGTGGGTGCCGGGGTCGAATACCACCGAACCTCAGGTTCGGTACGACTGGACCCTCCTGGCACCTACATGACAGTGCCTCCAATCACCTGAGAAGGTGGCAGTGGATCCCTATAGGCGTACATTCAAGCGAACCCATCCATGGCTCGGGATCTGCTCACTCCCCAGGTGGGCTTCTGGAGCCAGGGCCGCCGTTCTGCGGCACTGAACGCCGGGCGCGCTGATGGGCGCTCCGCGCGCCACCGCGCGTTGATGGGGCGAGCCAGGGCGTTCCAACGGGTGGGACTTCCAACTCGAAAGCTGTTCGATTGGGATGAAAGCTGTTCGTTGGTAGAGCAAAGTTCGAGTTGGGAAGTTGCAACATGATAGATTTGGTGTGTGTGTGTGTTTGTGTTTGTGTGTATGTGTGTATAATATATCTAAAAAGAGTATGTGTGTGGTCAATCAAGACCCCTTCTACAGATGTGTTTTACCGAATCTAGCGAAGGCCCCTTCTACAGTATATTGGACCGAAGGCAGCTTGGGCTCTGTGGAGGGCCCATGATCTATCTTGTCAAGATCCTCTGACCCAGGTCTTGTTGAAGTTTTGACTGGCTGCAGATTCTGCAGATGGCAATTTGTACAACAAAAGAATTGCACCAGGAGCTTCAAAGATTACTTGTGTCAGGTTCTCAGGGCCCCAAGCCAGAAGTTTGATTT